ACGTTGTCTCTTAACGTTCTCTGAATAATTTGAGAACACTTTAAATAGAACCATGAGGAAACTTTTAGGAAGCGTTACGCTGAAGTACTGAAATTCCCGCCTACAGTGGCTTGCGAAAGTATTCACCCCCCTTGGCATTTTTCCTATTTTGTTGCCTTACAACCTGGAATTAAAATGGATTTTTGGGGGGTTTGTATCATTTCATTTACACAACATGCCTAACATTTTGAAGATGCAACATTCTTTTTTTTGTGAAACAAACAAGAAATGAGACAAAAAAAAAGAAAACTTGTGCGTGCATAACTATTCACCCCCCCCCCCAAAGTCAATACTTTGTAGAGCCACCTTTTGCAGCAATTACAGCTGCAAGTCTCTTGGGGTATGTCTCTATAAGCTTGGCACATCGAGACACTGGGATTTTTGCCCATTCTTCAAGGCAAAACTGCTCCAGCTCCTTCAAGTTGGATGGGTTCCGCTGGTGTACAGCAATCTTTAAGTCATACCACAGATTCTCAATTGGATTGAGGTCTGGGCTTTGACTAGGCCATTCCAAGACATTTAAATGTTTCCCCTTAAACCACTCAAGTGTTGCTTTAGCAGTATGCTTAGGGTCATTGTCCTGCTGGAAGGTGAACCTCCGTCCCAGTCTCAAATCTCTGGAAGACTGAAACAGGTTTCCCTCAAGAATTTCCTTGTATTTAGCGCCATCCATCATTCCTTCAATTCTGACCAGTTTCCCAGTCCCTGCCGATGGAAAAACATCCCACAGCATGATGCTGCCACCACCATGCTTCACTGTGGGGATGGTGTTCTCAGGGTGATGAGAGGTGTTGGGTTTGTGCCAGACATAGCGTTTTCCTTGATGGCTCAATTTTAGTCTCATCTGTCCAGAGTACCTTCTTCCATATGCTTGGGGAGTCTCCCACATGCCTTTTGGCGAACACCAAACGTGTTTGCTTATTATTTTCTTTAAGCAATGGCTTTTTTTCTGGCCACTCTTCCGTAAAGCCCAGTTCTGTGGAGTGTACGGCTTAAAGTGGTCCTATGGACAGATACTCCAATCTCCACTGTGGAGCTTTGCCACTCCTTCAGGGTTATCTTTGGTCTCTTTGTTGCCTCTCTGATTAATGCCCTCCTTGCCTGGTCTGTGAGTTTTGGTGGGTGGCCCTCTCTTGGCAGGTTTGTTGTGGTGCCATATTCTTTCCATTTTTTAATAATGGATTTAATGGTGCTCCGTGGGACGTTCAAAGTTTCAGATATTTTTTATAACCCAACCCTGATCTGTACTTCTCCACAACTTTGTCCCTGACCTGTTTGGAGAGCTCCTTGGTCTTCATGGTGCCGCGGTCTTCATGGTGCCGCTTGCTTGGTGGTGCCGCTTGCTTGGTGGTGCCCCTTGCTTAGTGGTTTTGCAGACTCTGGGGCCTTTCAGAACAGGTGTATATATACTGAGATCGTGTGACAGATCATGTGACACTTAGATTGCACACAGGTGGACTTTATTTAACTAATTATGTGACATCTGAAGGTAATTGGTTGCACCAGATCTTATTTAGGGGCGTCATAGCAAAGGGGGTGAATACATATGAACGCACCACTTTTCCGTTATTTATTTTATATAATTTTTTGAAAAAACGCCAAGGGGGATGAATACTTTTGCAAGGCACTGTAAGAAGAATATGGTTCTCATAATATGATGTGCTACCTGGGTATCCTGCACCATTCCCAGAATGTTATGGGAAGGATGTATGCAAAATAACAATAGGACAACCACGCTCTCACCAAGCTCTAAGAAACATAGGGTTCTCAGAACGTTATGTGCTAGCTGGGGGGACTGGATAGAGGGAGGGAGGGGATGGAGGAGGCTGAGGCAGGGGTGAGAGAGGGAAGAGATGGGGGATTTGGGACAAGAGGATGGGATGGAGATCAGATGAAGCAAATGAGACAAGGAAACAAGGAAAGGAAACCACTTCATTTCAGCCCAACGCACATCCTTTACTCGTCTAACGTCCTTGATGAACAGTGAACATGGCTTAGTTCATAATGATCCCAGCTGCGAAAGGAAAGGAGGACAGAGCGGTGCTTTTGAACAATATTGGAACGCAGCAACTGTCAATCAAATGAAGCCTAGTGGTTCATTTGGGAGGGAGAGGTGTGGTGAAGAGTCTCATCCCAGTGGTTATGATAAGGATGATTTTGGCCCAGTGGGAGTGAGATTCTTGAAGAAAGTGGATCCTTGCCTTTTGGCTGATCCATATGTGGTATCAGGTGGAGAAGAATTTGGTACTGTTGAATATGTGAAGGTAACCACAAGTGGACTTGTGATGTTTGTTTTGTTCCGCCCAGAGGGAGTGGGCGCTCGGGTCAAGATCTGGATCTTGCTCTGCTCTTAGGAACAGGGCACTGTTGAAAGGAGTGATTTTTGGGGTAGCGTTATTTGTGGAGGAGGATCAATTGAAGTTGAAGATTCGAAGTGTTTTTGACGCCTGCCGTTTGTCGTGATGAAACAGAGGAGACACTGTCTGTCCTTTTGAGTTTTGACTCAGAGTCTTTACCTGACAAAGTCAAGTTAGGATATATCAGTTATTCTGTACAAGCTTTTGTGCTGAACCCATTACGGTGTTTCAGGTGCCAAGTGTATGGTCATGTTGCAGCAGTGTGTAGGAGGGAGATTCCAAGATGTGGGAAGTGTGCAGGAGGACATGGGATAGAGGAATGTGTCGTTTCGGTGGAAAAAGTTGTGTGTGTCAACTGTGGGGGTGCCCATGTTGCTGGGGTTCGGATGTGTCCGGAGAGAAAGAGGCAGGTTGAGGTGGCCAGAGAGAGAGAGGCAGGTTGAGGTGGCCAGAGAGAGAGAGGCAGGTTGAGGTGGCCGGTGAGAGAGAGGCAGGTTGAGGTGGCCGGTGAGAGAGAGGCAGGTTGAGGTGGCCAGAGAGAGAGGTAGGTTGAGGTGGCCAGAGAGAGAGAGGCAGGTTGAGGTGGCCGGTTCGAGAGAGGCAGGTTGAGGTGGCCGGTGAGAGAGAGGCAGGTTGAGGTGGCCAGAGAGAGAGAGGCAGGTTGAGGTGGCCAGAGAGAGAGAGGCAGGTTGAGGTGGCCGGTGAGAGAGAGGCAGGTTGAGGTGGCCGGTGAGAGAGAGGCAGGTTGAGGTGGCCAGAGAGAGAGGTAGGTTGAGGTGGCCAGAGAGAGAGAGGCAGGTTGAGGTGGCCAGAGAGAGAGGCAGGTTGAGGTGGCCAGAGAGAGAGAGAGGCAGGTTGAGGTGGCCAGAGAGAGAGGCAGGTTGAGGTGGCCAGAGTCAGAGTAGTGCAGATGATGTCATATGCTGAGGCAGTGAAGAGAGTAGAGGAGGATGGGTCAAGGGTCAAGGGTCAAGGGTGAAGGGTGAGGGATTCTGAGAGGATCCCTGTGAATAGTAGATCTGTGTCAGAACAGAGGGATCGGAAAATGAGGGCTGTGCATTTCAGTAAGGTTGGCTTCTTACCGTTCATAGCAATGGTTATCAACTGTACCACGGAGATGGAACGTAAATCCCAGAAAATAGATGTTGTGGTGGCAGCTGCAGAGAAGTACTTGGGGGTACGAGATTTAACTGCAGAAGAGTTTCAGGGTGTGTTGAGGGGTGGTGTCCCGTCCTCCCAGGCTGCCAGCCTGGTGTAGGATCAGATAAGTAGTGGAATATAGGTTTTAATGAGTGTAGGGTTAGATAGGGCCAAGTAGTGGAATATAGGTTTTAATGGGTGTAGGGTTAGATAGGGCCAAGTAGTGGAATAGAGGTTTTAATGGGTGTAGGGTTAGATAGGGCCAAGTAGTGGAATAGAGGTTTTAATGGGTGTTGGGTTAGATAGGGCCAAGTAGTGGAATAGAGGTTTTAATGGGTGTAGGGTTAGATAGGGCCAAGTAGTGGAATATATAACATATCCTCTGCAGCAGAGGTAACTCTGGGTCTTCCATTCCTGTGGCGGTCCTCATGAGAGCCAGATTCATCATAGCGCTTGATGGTTTTTGCGACTGCACTTGAAGAAACTTTCAAAGTTCTTGAAATGTTCCGGTTTGACTGACCTTCATGTCTTCAAGTAATTATGGACTGTCGTTTCTCTTTGCTTATTTGAGCTGTTTTTGCCATAATATGGACTTAGCCCTATTTGGTAAAATACCATCTTCTGTATACCACCCCCCCCCCGTATGTTTCCTTGTTCTATCTCTGCACACACAGGAGGTGAGTTCACCCATTTTATTCAATGTCTCTCTCCCCCCCCCCCTCAAAATATAAATGACTACAACAATCAGTTACTCAAGACAACTTTAAATTAAATATGATTAAAAAGAATTCAAACAAAATGTCAATAACATGGATTACAGTGATATGACTTTACATGAATTATTTTAGTGAAACAAAAAAAAGTCAGTTTCTGCTCTCGTCTTCCTCATGGAATTGTCTTTAGCAAAGAGCACAAACAGATCTGGGACCAAACTAACAAATTATTTAATAAAACGTTTGACATGTTATCATCATCATTACATCAATATATTTGGTCCTTGGGCTAGCTCACGTTGACCCAATGGGACCCTATACAGTGCATTACTTCTGACCAGGGCCCAGATAGGGAGCCAATCTCTGAACCAATACACAATGGATCAGTCTCAGAGGATACACTATTCCCCATGTATGTCTGTAGCGTCCATGCTGAAGACCTCTGATGGATCACTGGTCTCTGTTCCCATCACAGAGGGAGGGAGGGAGGGATGGATGGAGGGAGGGAGGGAGGGAGGGATCACTGGTCTCTGTTCCCATCACAGAGGGAGGGAGGGAGGGATGGATGGAATCCCTCTCCTCCTCTCTGTTCCCATCACTGTGCACCATGTAGTCTCTTTCACAGGGGACCTCTCTCTCTCTCCTCCTCTCCGTTCCCATCCCCCTCTATCATGGAGTCTCTCTCAAAGGGGACCTCCTCTCTCTCTCCCTCCTCCTCCTCTACTCCTCTCTGTTCCCCTCTCAAAGGGGACCTCCTCTCTCTCTCCTCCTCCTCTACTCCTCTCTGTTCCCATCCCCCTCTACCATGGAGTATCTCTCACAGGGGTTAATGTTACACCATGCAGAGGGCAGAGAGACGGGCCAGGAGAACACACAGGGAACGGTTGTCATGACGTTACGCTCCAGGAAGTTAAACACAGGGTTCCACCAGGTCCTTGACAGGTAGTTGTTAGAAGCCCCACGCAGAGCCTGAACATAAAGAATAATAAATAATTAAATAACATAAAGAAAAGAAACCCCTCAATCATCTGTACGTTTCTTTTCAAGGCACTATGATAATAATAATAATAAAATCACAAAGCTCAGAGTGAGTTAATCAGTCTGAAATAAAGAGAAGGTTTTGAATCAGTTGAGGCTGTAGGGTGATGTGACTACCACTAGAGCGGAGCCTACACCATGCAGAGTATAGATATGATGGTTGGTCCAGAAGAGATGGTGTGTTCCCTACCTGTGTGTTGGCCATGGCGTGATACCACCAGAAGAGGCGGTGTGTTCCCTACCTGTGTGTTGGCCATGGCGTGATACCACCAGAAGAGGCGGTGTGTTCCCTACCTGTGTGTTGGCCATGGCGTGATACCACCAGAAGAGGCGGTGTGTTCCCTACCTGTGTGTTGGCCATGGCGTGATACCACCAGAAGAGGTGGTGTGTTCCCTACCTGTGTGTTGGCCATGGCGTGATACCACCAGAAGAGGCGGTGTGTTCCCTACCTGTGTGTTGGCCATGGCGTGATACCACCAGAAGAGGCGGTGTGTTCCCTACCTGTGTGTTGGCCATGGCGTGATACCACCAGAAGAGGTGGTGTGTTCCCTACCTGTGTGTTGGCCATGGCGTGATACCACCAGAAGAGGCGGTGTGTTCCCTACCTGTGTGTTGGCCATGGCGTGATACCACCAGAAGAGGCGGTGTGTTCCCTACCTGTGTGTTGGCCATGGCGTGATACCACCAGAAGAGGTGGTGTGTTCCCTACCTGTGTGTTGGCCATGGCGTGATACCACCAGAAGAGGTGGTGTGTTCCCTACCTGTGTGTTGGCCATGGCGTGATACCACCAGAAGAGGCGGTGTGTTCCCTCCTGTGTGTTGGCCATGGCGTGATACCACCAGAAGAGGCGGTGTGTTCCCTACCTGTGTGTTGGCCATGGCGTGATACCACCAGAAGAGGCGGTGTGTTCCCTCCTGTGTGTTGGCCATGGCGTGATACCACCAGAAGAGGCGGTGTGTTCCCTACCTGTGTGTTGGCCATGGCGTGATACCACCAGAAGAGGTGGTGTGTTCCCTACCTGTGTGTTGGCCATGGCGTGATACCACCAGAAGAGGCGGTGTGTTTCCTACCTGTGTGTTGGCCATGGCGTGATACCACCAGAAGAGGTGGTGTGTTCCCTACCTGTGTGTTGGCCATGGCGTGATACCACCAGAAGAGGCGGTGTGTTCCCTACCTGTGTGTTGGCCATGGCGTGATACCACCAGAAGAGGTGGTGTGTTCCCTACCTGTGTGTTGGCCATGGCGTGATACCACCAGAAGAGGCGGTGTGTTCCCTACCTGTGTGTTGGCCATGGCGTGATACCACCAGAAGAGGCGGTGTGTTTCCTACCTGTGTGTTGGCCATGGCGTGATACCACCAGAAGAGGCGTGATGTAATAAAGTAGGCGATGACAACGTCAATGCTGTAATGCTCATGACCAATCAGGATACAGACCACGCCCACAACACTTAGTAACCAGCACGACCACACGTACCACCACATCTTCTTGGGGGAGTCTGAGGAGGTAAACATGGTTTAATAAATACACCGTTTTTCACCCCTATTACAAAATGACAGTTTTTCCAGATTTATTTTAGCCCATTTCCCAATTCAAAATACATTTATCAGAGCCTCACAGGACTGGGAAATACACTACATGACCAAAAGTATGTGTACACCTTCTCGTCGAACACTAATGGGCATTAATATGGAGTTGGTTCCCCCCTTTGCTGCTATAACAGCCTCCACTCTTCTGGGAAGGCTTTCCACTAGATGTTGGAACATTGCTGCAGGGACACAAGAGCATTAGTGAGGTCTGGCACTGATGTTGGGCTATTAGGCCTTGCTCGCAGTCGGCGTTCCAATTCATCCCAAAGGTGTTCGATGGGGTTGAGGTCAGGGCTCTGTGCAGGCCAGTCAAGTTCTCCCACACAGATCTCGACAAACAATTTCTGTATGGACCTCGCTTTGTGCACGGGGGCATTGTCATGCTGAAACAGGAAAGGGCCTTCCCCAAACTGTTGCCACAAAGTTGGAAGCACAGAATGGTCTAGAATGTCATTGTACGCTGTAGCGTTAAGATTTCCCTTCACTGGAACTAAGGGGCCTAGCCCAAACCATGAAAAACAACCCCAGAACATTATTCCTCCTCCACCAAACTTTACAGTTGGCACTATGCATTGGGGCAGGTAGCGTTCTCCTGGCATCCGCCAAACCCAGATTCGTCCGTCAGATGGTGAAGCGTGATTCATCACTCCAGAGAACGCGTTTCCACTGCTCCAGAGTCCAATGGCGGTGAGCTTTACACCACTCCAGCCGATGCTTGGCATGGTACATGGTGATCTTAGGCTTGTGTGCGGCTGCTCGGCCATGGAAACCCATTTAATTAAGCTCCTGACAAACAGTTATTGTGCTGACGTTGCTTCCAGGGGAAGTTTTGAACTCGGTAGTGAGTGTTGCAACCGAGGACAGACCATTTTTACGTGCTTCAGCACTCGCGGTCCCATTCCGTGAGCTTGTGCGGCCTACCACTTCGGGCTGAGCCGTTGTTGCTCCTAGACTTTTTCCACTTCACAATAACAGCACTTACTGTTGACCGGGGAAGCTCTAGCAGGGCAGAAATTTGATGAACTGACGTTGGAAAGGTGGCATCCTATGACGGTGCCACGTTGAAAGTCAGAGCTCTTCAGTAAGGCCGTTCTACTGCCAATGTTTGTCTATGGAGATTGCTGTCAGCTGTATAAAATCGAGCACACAGCCATGCAACGGGTGCTCAATGTAGAAAATAGTAAAAATAAAGAAAAACCCTGGAATGAGTCGGTGTGTCCAAGAATGTAGAATAATAGTGAAGACATCAAAACTATGAAATAACACATATGGAATCATGTAGTAACCAAAAAAGTGTTAAACAAATCAAAATATATTTTATTTGAGATTCGTCAAATAGCCAAGAATGTGCAAAGGGTGGAATCTCAAATATAAAATATATTTTGATTTGTTTAACACTTTCTTGGTTACTACATGATTCCATATGTGTTATTTCATAGTTTTGATGTCTTCACTATTATTCTACAATGTAGAAAATAGTAAAAATAAAGAAAAACCCTGGAATGAGTAGGTGTGTCCAAACTTAACTATATATATAGTTAGTACCAGTCAAAAGTTTGGACACACCTACTCATTCCAGGGTTTTTCTTAAGTATAGTGTACATTTATCAGACCCTCACATGACCAGGAAATACATTTACTCAGGTCCATCCTGGTCTACATCCTGGGCCCAGGGTTAGGGAGGCTACAGACCGAGATCTGGGCCCAGGGTTAGGGAGGCTACAGACCGAGATCTGGGCCCAGGGTTAGGGAGGCTACAGACCGAGATCTGGGCCCGGGGTTAGGGAAGCTACAGACCCAGATCTGGGCCCGAGGTTAAGGAGGCTACAGACCCAGATCTGGGCCCGAGGTTAGGGAGGCTACAGACCCAGATCTGGGCCCAGGGTTAGGGAGGCTACAGACCGAGATCTGGGCCCGGGGTTAGGGAGGCTACAGACCCAGATCTGGGCCCGAGGTTAGGGAGGCTACAGACCCAGATCTGGGCCCGGGGTTAGGGAGGCTACAGACCCAGATCTGGGCCCGGGGTTAGGGAGGCTACAGACCCAGATCTGGGCCCGGGGTTAGGGAGGCTACAGACCCAGATCTGGGCCCGGGGTTAGGAAGGCTACAGACCCAGATCTGGGCCCGGGGTTAGGGAGGCTACAGACCCAGATCTGGGCCCGGGGTTAGGGAGGCTACAGCACTTCTCCATTTCTTTAATAAAATAACACACTAAATAAACAGATGTGCCAGTGTGTGTGTGTGTGTGTGTGTGTGTGTGTGTGTGTGTACATACACTCTTGAATAAACAGGTATGCCAGTGTTAGGGTTACAGTGTGTCCACTGTAGAGGAAGTCTCCACACATGAGATGACCCCCGGTGATTGACAGGCCTCCTCCACTAATCAGACCCAGGATACGCCACACCATCCCTTCAGAGTCTCCATAAAGCTAGAGGGGGGGGGAGAGAGAGTTTTAGTAACTATGGTAACTGGCATATTCTTTGCATCATTTCTAGAATGTTACTGGTCATAGTGAAACCATTGGGAGCCACCATTGGTGTATATAAACCTTGGATTGCTGATGCCATTTACTGTCCAATAGAGCCCCACAGTGGATGTGTCAAAGTACCCATAAAACCTAGTGGTCAAACAAGGAAATGGTTCCAATCGTTTTTCCACCATGTATTTTTTCCCCATAGGGCATTTTGGCGTGACGTTTTGATAACCATGTAAAAAGGTGACTTTTATCGATATATTCTGCTATTTATTCACGATTCGGCAGTCTCGTCCAGATCATCATGGCATTTGTAGTTCTTTATGATAGCCACATTAGCAGCTAATTAGCATTTCATTTGTTGGGGGTAACTACAGGCAAATCCATTGATAAAAGTCACCTATATATGAATCATTGTGTGTACCTTAGCTTGAAAACAGCCCCATCAGTCATCTAGTCTATTTATGAGTCAGTGTGTACCTTAGCTTGAAAACAGCCGCATCAGTCATCTAGTCTATTTATGAGTCATTGTGTACCTTGGGGGCGCAGGTGAAGTGTTCACCAGGTACAGGTAGTGTGGTGACATACATGGTGACACAACGGTACATGTACAACGTTCCAATCATGAAGAAACACCTCCGCCCAATGATGGACCTGGAGGGGGGAGACAGAGTTACGACAATTAGAACAGCAGTGGGGACAGACAGACAGACAGACAGACAGACAGACAGACACAGAGAGAGAGAGACACAGAGAGACACAGAGAGACACAGAGAGACACAGAGAGACACAGAGAGACACAGAGAGACACAGAGATAATGTACCTGTGTTTGAGGAAGAGCCACTGAATGAACCAGAGTCCCACCAGCACCATCCCGTTGACTTCGGTTACCGTAAACGCCCACGGTACACGGTCCACATAGTCAAAGAACTTATCCGGTAACGGGGGACTGACCGATTTATCCGGTACCCGTTCATGTACGACGGTGATGATGACTGTGGTCAGGATGAGGTTGAACAACGCGTACACAAACGCCACCCCTGTTTTCCACCATTCCCGCGGCAACCGGTTGCTACGGCCTTCCGGTACCTGAATCTTGATGTAGTCACTGTGTTTCTGGAGACCGTTGCTAAGCGACTGGATCAGTCGGCTGGATTTGCTGCTAGCTCTGCCAGTCTGTCGGTCGTCGTGGTGATGCTTGGGGTTAGGGATGTGCTCCGTTATTGTTGCCGAGGAAGGGTTGCCGTTGGGGACGACGTGAGGAGGCGGGGACTCCATCGTCACAGAGACCTCCAGGTGGGAGTGGCCTCCAGTCGGACGCGCCTCGTCTTCGTGCATCAGCAGGCTCCAAACAGGTCCTTTAACCAAATCTCTAAAAAAAAGTATCTTCTAGAAACGTGTGATTTGGTGGGTTAGAGGTACCTGATCAATGTGATCAATAATCCGATCAGTTCTGGTCAAATCAAAATCAGCTCTGGGAGGTAATCAAGAACGTCACAGAGCTTTTGGAAACACCTGGAAAAACACAAGTACACACAGACATCAGAAACTGTCCAGGAGAGTAGAACCTGTTTCTACCTGGTCAAGTGAAGGAACTGAAATGTAGAAGGAGGGGGGGGGGGGGTGAAAACCTGTTTGACAGGCAATAGCTAGCGAGCACAGGCGGTTAGTGGCACCTTAATTGGGGAGGACGGGCTCATGGATGGTTGCATGGTTTGATGCCGTTCCAAACAGTATTATGAGCCATCCTCCCCTCAGCAGCCTCCATTGAGGACGGGCTCATGGTAATGACTGGAGTGGATGGTTGCATGGTTTGATGCCATTCCAAACAGTATTATGAGCCATCCTCCTCTCAGCAGCCTCCACTGACAGACAGGCTGTTTTCAGAGGTCTCAGGGGCAGTTTCCCGGACACATATTAAAGCATAGTTCTAGATTTAAAAAGCATTCTGAATGCCCCATTTAAAAAGTGCTTTCCAGGACTGGACTTCATCTGTGTCTGGGGAAACCAGCCCTCAGTGGTCAGAGACGACAGGCAGGTTTTTTCTCCCTGTATAGTCACACTCAGTCAACACAGGTGAGAAATGATATGTTCCTACCTGTAGGAATGTTTGACTCACAGTAACCAGAGAGAGAGAGAGAGACACACCTTAAAACCACACAGAACAATGAAGAGTTCAGACTGGCAAGATGGAGGGAGTGGTAGAGAGTTTAAAAAGTGAAAAAGATAATATGATATTCAGATAATGTGAATCACAATCCTCAAACAAGTACACTACCTACAGCACCAGTGAAATGTTTGGACACCTACTCATTCCAGGGGTTCTTTATTTTTTTAACTATTTTCACTTTTTTAGAATAATAGTGAAGACAACACTATGAAATAACACATATGGAATCATGTAGTAACCAAAAAAAAGTGTTAAACAAATCAAAATATTTGAGATTTGAGATTCTTCAAATAGCCACCCTTTGCCTTGATGACGGCTGTGCACACTCTTGGCATTCTCTCAACCAGCTTCATGAGGTAGTCACGTGGAATGCATTTCAATTAACAGGTGTGCCTTGTTAAAAACCCTTGAATGAGTAGGTGTGTCCAAACATGACTGGTACTGTAGGTAACTTACTAACGGCATGTTACGTAACACACGTTGTTGGAGAAAAGTATATTGTGTGAGAGTGAGAAGGGAGTCCTCAAAATGCTACAAATCATCTTTCTCCTCTCTCCAGCATCCCTGAGGGGCCCCCGTGTTGAGGATCAGCGTGGCAGATGTGTTGTTGCCTACCCTTACCACCTGGGGGCGGCCCATCAGGAAGTCCAGGATCCAGTTGCAGAGGGAGGTGTTTAGTTCCAGGGTCCTTAGCTTAGTGATGAGCTTTGAGGGCACTATGGTGTTGAACGCTGAGCAGTAGTCAATGAATAACATTCTCACATAGGTGTTCCTTTTGTCCTTTTGTAGTCTGTAATAGTTTGCAAGCCCTGCCACATCCGACGAGCGTCAGAGCCGGTGTAGTACGATTCAATCTTATTCTGTATTGACTCTTTGCCTGTTTGATGGTTCGTCTGAGGGCATAGCGGGATTTCTTATAAGTGTCCGGGTTAGTGTCCCGCTCCTTGAAAGCGGCAGCTCTAGCCTTTAGCTCAGTGCGGATGTTGCCTGTAATCCATGGCTTCTGTTTGGGATATGTACGTACGGTCACTGTGGGGACGACGTCGTCGATACACTTATTGATGAAGCCGGTGACTGAGGTAGTCTATTCCTCAATGCCATTGAATGAATCCCGGAACATATTCCAGTCTGTGCTAGCAAAACAGTCCTGTAGCGTAGCATCCGCGTCATGTGACCACTTCTGTATTGCGAGACACTGGTACTTCCTGGTTTAGTTTTAGCTTGTAAGTAGGAATCAGGAGGATAGAATTGTGGTCAGATTTGCCAAATGGAGGACGAGGGAGAGCTTTGTATGCGTCTCTGTGTGTGGAGTAAAGGTGGTCCAGAGTTTCTTTTTTTTTTTTTTTAAAGCTAGTTGAGTGCGGTCTTAGTGCCAGCATCGGTTTGTGGTGGTAAATGAATAATATAAATGAGAACTCGCTCGGTAGATTTTGTGGTCTACAGTTTATCATGAGGTACTCTACCTCAGGCGAGCAAAACCTCCAGACTTCTTTAATATTAGACACCAGCTGTTATTGACAAATAGAGACACACCCCCGCCCCTCGTCCTACCAGACGTAGCTGCTCTGTCCTGCCGATACACGGAAAACCCAGCCAACTGAATATTATCCATGTCGTCGTTCAGCCACGACTCGGTGAAACATAAGATATTACAGTTTTTAATGTCCCGTTGGTAGGATAGTTTCGAGCTGAGATCATCCAGTTTATTCTCCAGTGATTGCACGTTGGCCAATAGAACGGATGGTAGAGGCGGTTTACCCACTCTCTACGAATTCTCACAAGGCACCCCGATCTCCGCCCCCTTTATTTCCGTCTTTTCTTAACGCTAATGACAACGATTTGGGTCTGGTCTCGGAGAAGCAGTATATCCTTTGCGTCGACAGTTACAGTTTTTCCCCGTTGGAAGGATAGTCTTGATCGTAGATCATCCCCCAAAAAAAAAAACCTTCATCCAGTTTGAGGTGAGTAATCGCTGTTCTGATGTCCAGAAGCTCTTTTCGGTCATAAGAGACGGTGGCAGCAACATTATGTACAAAATAAGTTACAAAACAATGCGAAAAAGCAAAACAAAATAGCACGGTTGGTTAGGAGCCAGTAAAAACGGCAGCCATCCCCTCCGGCGCCATTATACCCCTCTGAGTTAGCTCTGGTTCGTTCAACCATCCCTATGGGGAAAATGAATGGGGAAAGAAGAGTTTTGGAATAAACGCCAAGAATAAGGTCTGAGGTTAACACAGGCTTAGGAGATCTGATACGTTTTGTTCTATGGAGATAATCAAGCAATAAGGCCTGAGGGGGAGTGGTATATGGCCAAATATACCACGGCTCAGAGGTGTTCTTAAGCACGACGCAACAAGGAGTGCCTGGATACTGCCATTAGCCGTGGTATATTGGCCATAAGACTCTACGACGTTCACAGAGCGCTTTGTACACCAAAATGTCAGTCGAACCGATCCAGAACTGCTCAGGACCGGTCCAGAACTGCGCAATGTTCCCTCTAATTTTTTTGGGGCACTGAGTAAACTTTAGGTCTTGTGAGCGGAAACTTGAACATTGTGAAAATGTTGTGCAACTTCTGGCGCGCGTTTACAGTGAATACTGAGGCTGTATCCTGACAGTTATAGACAGTAGCCAACAGGCTGTACCCTGACAGTAGCCAACAGGCTGTATCCTGACAGTTTTAGACAGTAGCCAACAGGCTGTACCCTGACAGTAGCCAACAGGCTGTATCCTGACAGTTTTAGACAGTAGCCAACAGGCTGTATCCTGACAGTTTTAGACAGTAGCCAACAGGCTGTACCCTGACAGTTTTAGACAGTAGCCAACAGGCTGTATCCTGACAGTTTTAGACAGTAGCCAACAGGCTGTACCCTGACAGTAGCCAACAGGCTGTATCCTGACAGTTTTAGACAGTAGCCAACAGGCTGTACCCTGACAGTTTTAGACAGTAGCCAACAGGCTGTATCCTGACAGTTTTAGACAGTAGCCAACAGGCTGTATCCTGACAGTAGCCAACAGGCTGTATCCTGACAGTTTTAGACAGTAGCCAACAGGCTGTATCCTGACAGTTTTAGACAGTAGCCAACAGGCTGTATCCTGACAGTTTTAGACAGTAGCCAACAGGCTGTATCCTGACAGTTTTAGACAGTAGCCAACAGGCTGTATCCTGACAGTTTTAGACAGTAGCCAACAGGCTGTACCCTGACAGTAGCCAACAGGCTGTATCCTGACAGTTTTAGACAGTAGCCAACAGGCTGTACCCTGACAGTTTTAGACAGTAGCCAACAGGCTGTATCCTGACAGTTTTAGACAGTAGCCAACAGGCTGTATCCTGACAGTAGCCAACAGGCTGTATCCTGACAGTTTTAGACAGTAGCCAACAGGCTGTATCCTGACAGTTTTAGACAGTAGCCAACAGGCTGTATCCTGACAGTTTTAGACAGTAGCCAACAGGCTGTATCCTGACAGTTTTAGACAGTAGCCAACAGGCTGTATCCTGACAGTTTTAGACAGTAGCCAACAGGCTGTATCCTGACAGTTTTAGACAGTAGCCAACAGGCTGTATCCTGACAGTTTTAGACAGTAGCCAGCAGGCTGTATCCTGACAGTTTTAGACAGTAGCCAACAGGCTGTATCCTGACAGTAGTCAACAGGCTGTACCCTGACAGTTTTAGACAGTAGCCAACAGGCTGTATCCTGACAGTTTTAGACAGTAGCCAACAGGCTGTATCCTGACAGTTTTAGACAGTATCCAACAGGCTGTATCCTGACAGTTTTAGACAGTAGCCAACAGGCTGTACCCTGACAGTTTTAGACAGTAGCCAACAGGCTGTATCCTGACAGTTTTAGACAGTAGCCAACAGGCTGTATCCTGACAGTTTTAGACAGTAGCCAACAGGCTGTATCCTGACAGTTTTAGACAGTAGCCAACAGGCTGTATCCTGACAGTTTTAGACAGTAGCCAACAGGCTGTATCCTGACAGTTTTAGACAGTAGCCAACAGGCTGTACCCTGACAGTTTTAGACAGTATCCAACAGGCTGTATCCTGACAGTTTTAGACAGTAGCCAATAGGCTGTACCTTTACAGTTTTAGACAGTAGCCAACAGGCTGTATCCTGACAGTTTTAGACAGTAGCCAACAGGCTGTATCCTGACAGTTTTAGACAGTAGCCAACAGGCTGTATCCTGACAGTTTTAGACAGTAGCCAACAGGCTGTATCCTGACAGTTTTAGACAGTAGCCAACAGGCTGTATCCTGACAGTTTTAGACAGTAGCCAACAGGCTGTATCCTGACAGTAGCCAACAGGCTGTACCCTGACAGTTTTAGACAGTAGCCAACAGGCTGTACCCTGACAGTTTTAGAC